GACTTCTCCTTCCTCCTTTATCATCCCGCTTCCCCATTGCTCCCCCATCCCCCTTCCCCCATTGCTCCCTCCATCAATCCCCTTACCCCTTCATAGCTCCCCCTCCCTCAAACCCCATTCCCATCACTCCCTCCTCCACTCTGCACCACACCCTCTCCCACATCCCCTCCCTCCCTCCCACCTCATTCTCCACCAGTCCCACCTCCCTCCATCACTTCCCCCTCACTTCATCACTCTATATCTACACCCCTCCCTCCACCCTCTCCTTTTAATATTGTATGTAGTAAAATAAAATTGTGTAATCTTATTCAATACACCTTTGTACTTAATCTTACCAGTATTGTGTGGAATTGGAACTTATTCCACCTGAATTCCATATGGAAAAAGGATGGATTCCATCTTAAAAAAGTATGGATTCCATCTTAAAAAAGTATGGATTCCATCTTAAAAAAGTATGGATTCCATCTTAAAAAAGTATGGATTCCATCTGAAAAAAGTATGGATTCCATCCCCAGAAAGTATGGATTCCATCAGCTATTCCATGGAATCCATCCCCTGAAAGTATGGAGTCCATCCCCAGAAAGTATGGAATCCATCAGCCATTCCATGGAATCCATCCCCTGAAAGTATGGAATCCATCAGCCATTCCATGGAATCCATCTGGAATTTCTGGAATCCACCCCCCCTTCCATGCATTCCATATGGATTAAGCCGGGGAGGGTAAAGTACAGGGAACACAACACGCCCCACGACGTCAACGGACAGCCACGTCAACAGACGCCAATGCCAACAACGACACGAACACGCCAACGGACGCCCACATCAACAGACCACCACCACGTCAACGGACGATGACCACGCCAGCGGACGCCCACGTCAACGCACAACTGCCCCTGCCAATGGGAAACCAGGGTGCCATGTCGCTGTCAGCGATGTGGCAACCAAACAACGAACGACGACAGACGAACAATGACGGCGTCGTTGTCGTTCGTCGTTCACACAAAGGTGAGTCCCCTGACTCTCCTTCATCCTATCCCATCTCACTAACAGCCACCACAACATGACACGACGACGATGAGTGCATTGTCCCTCCCCCCTTCCCTGTCCCTCCCTTCCCTTTCCTGCCCCCCTTCCTTTTCCTACCCCCCTTCCCTGTCCCTCCCCATTTCCATGTACCCCCATTCCCTGTCCCTCCCCATTTCCATGTACCCCATTTTTCCCTCCCCCCTTTCCTGTCTGTCCCTCCCCATTTCCTTGTCCTTACCCCCTTCCCCATTTCATTGTCCCTGCCCCCTTCCTTTTCCCTGCCCCCTTCCCTGTCCCTCCCCATTTCCTTATACCCCCTTCCCTGTCCCTCCCCATTTCCTTATACCCCCTTCCCTGTCCCTCCCCTGTCCCTCCCCATTTCCTTGTCCCTACCCCCTTGTCCATCCCCTCTTCCTTGTCCCCTTTGATATGCACTGTATGTAGTAAAATTGATCTATTGAGATGTATGACTTGACTAGGTGTGAATTCTGTAAGAAATTCTGAGTATTGAGGAGTTGCATCAATGCAGATTAAGTCACCTGACCTCTAGCTCAGTGCTGATCCATTCTGATTGTAGAAACTCTGATCAGTGCTGATCAGAGCATGTGGGGGAGGGTAAAGTACTGCTATTTATGGTGGAGTGGATTCCAGTCCCATTCCACCGGATTCCGCTGGAATGACCAGAGTCCGACAGGAATAGGTAGGGCACAGTAAAGTACTGCTGACCACCCTGAAATATCTTGGCGACATACAATGCATATTTACAGGATATGAATGGGATGATTCCAGGATATGCTGCTCTGAGATACCCTGTAGATGTCGTCCCATAGAAATCAACCTCACAAGCCACTCAATTTGTCTAAGTCCGTTGAAACTCCAACATCTAATAGTTCACCTCCTAAACAAACACCGTGCAAACACTCTCCTCACCACCACCATCCTCATCACTGTCACCATCCTCATCACTGTCACCACCCTACATGCATGTGACCGCCATCTTGCACCATGAGTGTCCACAATGGGCTGAACAACATTTAGACTCTCACATTGACTGCCACGTCATGCGCTGGAGGCTCAGCAACAACATGCCACATCTTGGCCATGTCCTCCACGATGACCCCCCTGCTGCTGCTACGGCTGCCACCACCCACTTTCATTGTCAACTACCCACATTCTCCTTGGTACACAGCAATCACAACTGCAACAATCCGCCAATACCGTCAATGGTCCCCTCCGATCTGCCACGTCGTCCAGACGGCAATGACGCAACAGTAGTGCAGGTGAGCTCAAATTTCACAACCCACCTCTTTCTCCTTGCTAATAGCCACAACCCACCCAGTGGCCACCACAGCACCTGCCAACCACTGCCACGTCACCACCTCGTCCTTGCCACATTTGGTGCTGACAACACAACACAATGATCACGACAACGGCCACAAGACGACAATGATGGAGATGGATGGACAGACAACAATGAGACATGGCGGCGACAGACGACCACAACAACAGTGGATGACGACGCTAAGCTATGGATGCACAGCAGAATATTTGTGGGAACATGCTGCTTTTCCTATTATACCATATTCCCTAATCCTTCCTAGTTTCTCGTGTAACATGCACCAGATATATACCATTTTATATAATCATCCAATTGTTTATGACTACGGAAATACAATTTGTTCCATCCAATATCCTGAATTTCAAGCAGATGGTATCCTTATAATAAGTAGTATGATATCCTGAGATTACCTCTCGAGGCATCCAGAGGATATTCATGAACACCAGTTGAGGATATTCTGAGGCAGATATCCAGAGGATAGCAGACGAGGATAGTTGGAGGTTGTGTATGTCCTGGGATATCCTGTGGTATAGACCAGAAGCGAAAACGAAAATATCTTCTTGCGAAATATTGCTCTGGATTTTCGTTTCTGGCTTTTCGCTGCCGAACCGATTCCGGCCACTTTCAAATTCAAGATTTTTATAATTATGGTATTTATTTGTATTTATTCAGATTGCTGGTCTGTCAACATGTCACACAGGACACTCTCTTCTGCAACAAGCGCCCACCACGACCATCGACGATTGGTCACAAAGACCCACCACCATGTTTGAGGAATGGCGATGACCGCCCAGCAATGTCCACAGGTGCCCAGCACCACCATCGACAAACAGTGATGACGGCCCGCCACGACCTCTGACGATTGACCATCAGGACCATCGACAAGTGCCCATGGACGGCCACGAGGGCCCACCACCACCATCGACAGATGACAATGAGCACCCACAAACGTCTACAGGGTCCACCACCAGAATCGACAAACAGCCACGAGGGCCCATCACCACCATTGACAACCACCACCAGGATTGACGGATGGCTACAACCGCCCACAACCACCATCAATAAATGGCTACGACATGAATTGCCACAAGGGCCCATCACCACGATTGATGAATGGCCACGTTGTTGAAGGGGAGAGGTGGTCCTTGCTCCTTCCTTCCCACTTCTACATAGTTTGTATATAGTACCCATGTAAATGTTTTTTTCGTAGATAAGTACATATACTGCCATTTACCTGAGTACAGAAGGACTTGTGAAAAAGAAAAAATGTTCAATGTTCTAGCCTGTGACACCGAGAAAGGCAAGATCACATATTACAAGTTTTCGGATAACAAACAAAAAATATTGTATTGTTTGTAATTGTTGCCCTGCTATCAAAAAGCTCATTTAATTACAAAATGCAGCCAGCGCTCCAGCTAGATAACGGACTGGCATCTGACGTTATGTTATGTATGCCAGATTTTCGTTTTCGCTTCTGGTACATACTCAATATCCTGGGACACTGGAATTCAGTATCCCTGACTCATCACCTTGATATCCTGGGATATGCCATCCACATCTGGAAGGTAACCATCAATACATCACCAGGAAATATCCCACACGATTGGGTGTGTAGGCGGTGCTTTATGAGTCGAACCTGGGAGGCCTGGCTGACCTTTTTTCTTGTACTTTATGTAATCAGGAACCAGGTCAACCTGGGAAGCTGGTCACAACCACTCTAGAGCAAGGGAATAAGCGATTTCATTCAATTTTTTTCCTCTAAGCTTTAGTGTAAGGTAATCTCTCATTAATAAAGACAGTTTGACATTTGTACAATAGTACCTTGTGAAGAAATCTGTTCATCTGTGGGGAATTTGATTGACATCATGGGAATTTCTTAATTTGGACGACCTCCGGTGAAGAACCAGATTGATTTAAGTCTGCACAAAATCCATTTGGATGGAAACAGCTGTAGCAGCACAATGCTAGACATCTAATCTGCTATTAATAGTGCCATTCCGGGATTGAAGATCTCTTCTCATGCTGCTACCACCTATTTGTTAAGTGGCGTCACTCTTAGTACTTAGTTCAGAGATCATAATGTTGAGTTGGCTGAGAGGCACATTGCAAATGGTATGGGCGCAAAAATGGATGGGGTATTTTAATTCCATGTTAATTGTGTCTCTGAGCCTAACCACATATTTTTAGCGATTTTTTTGAGTCTCTTACACATGTATCTTTTATAATGAACATTTTTTGGTCCTTTGACTTGTCGAATGAATATTTTCTTCACCAGCTACAGGCGAGGAGAGGCAACACTCAGGTATTATTGTTCAAGGTATGGCCATTGTATCCTAGGTATATGACCCACCTTTCGGACACAACTGCTCCACTTCAGTGAATTTAAAACACATGTCTAGCACCAAATCAGAGCACATCTGCTCCCATTATCCCCAAATGTCACTCTTCTATTCCATTACACTTCTCTTTCTTGGAGTTGCTCCACTCTATTTTCTTACTTAAATGAGCATTGTTGCAGCTTTATAAAACTCTGGTCAAGTGTGTCGTCAGTACCAATCAGTTGCCAATCAGCAGTGCTCAGAACCCCTCTTGCATGCAATGTCCTACACTTACACTGTTCCTGATCTTTCCAATCTCAGTGTTGAGCAACGGATAACACTTGCACTGCAGGCAGTCAACGAGAGTCCAATTCTACCTGATGGTAGACACCAATTATCACTCCGACAGGCAGCAAAGGATTTTGACATCCCCACATCTACTCTTACTGCCTGCTATAATGGTGTTCCTGCTCGGAATGATGCGCACAAACATCAGCAGAAGCTTACAAAAGCAGAGGAGTGTATCCTTGTTGACTGGATCAAGGTCCAAGGCCGACACGGTGTTCCTATCTCCCCATCAACTCTTGGCGACCATGCTGAGGCCATCGCAGGGTGTTCCATTGGCAAGTCATGGCCCAAAAGGTTCATGGATCACCATCCCAATCTCAAAACACGATATACCCAAAGCCTCGAGAAGTGCCATGCAAATAATGTCAACCCTGCCACAATCAACAAATTCTTTGACATTTTCGAAGAGGTTGTCAAGGAGTATAATATTGATGAGTCTGACATATACAACATGGACGAAAAAGGTATTCAGCTTGGGGTTGGAAAGTGAGTAGCAGCAATTATTGACCATGACTAGAAGGAGGTCTACAGTCTCAAAGATGGTAATCACAAGCTTGTCACTGTTATTGAAACAGTCAGCGCTGACGGAACTGCTCTGCCTCCTTCGTTCATCTTTAAGGGTGCAAGAATCAATCTCGAATGGGGGCATGATAACCCTTGTCATGCAAGGTGAGTACAGAACTTGAAGATCAGATGACTTTGTCTAATCACCCAATTACAGTGTGTCGTGCTCACCCAATGGTTGGACTGATCAAGAACTGGGGACCATGTGGTTGGAGAAGGACTTTGAGCCTGCAAGTGCTGCATGTATGAAGAACAAGGATGGCTATCGGTTGTTGATTCTGGATGGTCATAACTCACACTGCACATACTCCTTTTGCCAATTTGCAGAGAAACATAAAATCATCATCATTTGTCTTCCTTCACATACAACTCATGTCCTGCAACCTTGCGATGTTGGCATTTTTGGCCCCCTTTCATCGTGCTGGAAAAGCGAGGTCAACAAAGCAGCCTGTGGTCACGTCCCAATAACCAAATCCAATCTTATCAGTCATTATTCACAGGCTCGTGTTAAGGCTTTCCAGCCTTCGACAATCAAGGCAGCTTTTAAACGGACTGGTATTTGGCCAACAGATTGAGATGCCCTTGATCCAATTGTTTTCGAACCTTTGTTGAATACAACAACAAAGTCAGCTCAGCCACTATCAGCAATTATCCCTGACCTTGTGCCCATTGAGCTCATATTACCAACATCTGACGACAATAACACCAACCCCATCCCTACAACTACACCTGATTCCAACCTCGCAATTTGGGCTCATTTCTGGCTTGCCATCCCATCACCCCTCCATCACACAGCATCGCAACAAGCTCTATGTCTGCAAAATTCAACACTCTTTGACCTCCTCCACCATGCAGACCAACAAATCCAGGCCGATTATGCACAGATGCGGTTGATGGGATGATGAGAATGGCCACCTGTGTCAATGGGCATATGCAAAGGCCAAGAAGAAAGGGAAGGACCAGCACAAATCGTCTGATGCACGCCACATGACGTCGACAGAGAGTCTTGAAAAGCTGGCATGTTCTGACTGGAAGGCAGAGATGCAAGCTACATTTAAACTTATCAAAGAGCATGACAAAACACAGGAGAAGGACATTGCTAACCACAACAAGAAAGCCTTGGAGCAGGAGAAGCAGGAATGTGTGCTAGACAAACAGCATGCTGCTGAGAAGAAGAAGGCGGAGGTGGAGGTGGAGAAACAGTTGGTACAATGGCATTGTGAGATGGCTGGGCTTGGGAAATTTGCAATGGAGGAGATGGAAAAGTTGAAGAAGAAGAAGCTGCCACAGAAGGCAAAGGCCAAGAGAGCTGCAAAATCTACACGCCTACAGGAGAGGAGTGAGTGTAATCAGCAATCAAAGGAGGGAGAAACACCGAAGAGAAAAGGGAGCCGTCATAGTCATGCAAAGGACAAGCGACCATCCACCAACTCTGATTCTTCAGACCAGGAGTACTTTGATTTCTCGATGCTATCACCCAACAACCCAACTCCACAGGCTGGACCAGCACCAACACCTCAGAAGGCCAAGACACACAATGATACTGTATCCACACCTGAACAACCCCAGCTACAACCACAACCACAATTGAAACAACAACCACATCCACATCCGTGACCAGTGAAAAAGAATACCAAAAGAAACCTCTCACCCATGCATGCCAACCAAGAAAAATCGCCATCTACTCCTGCATGGCATCCTAGACGTCACTGGCTCTGGGAGCATGCCACTCCCCTAGAGCATTCCAAAAACAAGACTCCCCCGCACCGAGCACAGGCACCCTCACCAACGACAACACCGATGCCCTCGATTACAAGTCCTCATGCTGGACCATCGCAGCCCCTGCAACACCTCAGATTCCAACTAGAGCCAATCATCCATGTGTTCTCTGAGGAGGGAGAAGAGAGTCCTCCTCCATCTCCCACTAGACCAACCTGACAATGTGTGCCATCTTGAATGACAGGTACCAGCACAGATGCACTGAGCAGCACTGTCTGCAGAGCCCACACCACAACTGCGACAAAGTTCACAGGTTAAAACACCACAAAGCCCTTCAAAGAGTCCAAAACGGCGCTATAGATGAAGTAATTAGTTAATAACAAAGTAGATGAAGTAATTTACATACCTGACTTGTTCATTGTGTGTGGTGATGTCGTGGAACAGAGTAGATTGTGTCAGAATTGAGTCAGCGCAAAAATTTGGTGGCATTGCCGCGTGTGACCAGGTTCCCAGGTTTGGCCAAAATTGGGCACCTCTTCGAAAAATATTCACCTCACCTGCAATTCTTTCTCTAAAATCGAGAAATTTTGATTTTGACTATAGAAGGTAGTAGCCAGCACACCAGTAAATTTTTAGAAACGTAGACACAATATTCTTTGAGTAATCACACAGAAACATTAGTGTGACCAGGATCGGTGGTGATGATAAAGTGTGACAGGATCATCACACTCGTAACTTGCCCATGAGTCACAGTAGCAGTCATGGCAGATTTGTTTGCACAGTGTCAAATATTAGTACATAAGAGCCAGCCCAATTATCCCCCCATCTCACATTTCCATAAAGGGAAATTATGACAAAATTAGGCCTCTTGTGGGGGGATATATTCCACAACAAACCATGGACATATATGCTGGTTTGGCGTAGTGGTTGTTGTCACTGTCTTAGTGTTGCTTATGAAAGGCTTGGGGTTTGACTCTGAACCCTCCACATCTTTTTATGAATAGAATAATTACCTAACTGGTTAGGTTAGGAGGTTAGGGTTTTTCTCTTCACGCAGTAGCATGCTTAGGAGGTTAGGAGGTTAGCGCTTAGGGTTTATTAATGGTTAGGGTTGAGGATATTTTTTTCCCCACACAGTAGCACATTCTTGGTTAGAAGGTTAGGAGGTTAGGAGGTTAGCGGTTAGGGTTTATTAATGGTTAGGGTTGGGGATATTTTTTTCCCCGCACAGTAGCGTGTTCTTGGTTAGAAGGTTAGGTGGTTAGTGGTTAGTGGTTAGGTTAGGAGGTTAGGGTAGGTTAGGTGCTCGAGAACGTGCGGTAGCACGCTCTCGAGCCAACTTAGGGCAATGGCACATTGCCCTAAGTCGTATAATTACCATATATGGAGTGCCGGTGATTGCCAGCACATCACATGTGTGATACGGGGGGAGAGTTAGGACTGTTGTACATAAGTGAAACCAGAAAACAGTAGCAATCTACACATCGTCGAGTTTGCCCCTCTCTGAACATCCATTTTGATAGCTGGAGTTGCTGAGCGGAGGCATAGCAGGTCGGTTCGAGTGCCAATATTGATATATCAATACTCGACTGGTCCTTCACAATTGGCCGTGCTTACATCGGTTCGCTTGTTGGAAAGAACATAAAGTACGCTCGTAGTCTTTTCTATTTTGAACCGACGGTAGCTAAGGATTATTTACCCAGCTGGTTATCCCAGCATATGCCCTCACACACCCACATTCGCCCACTCCCTCTCAATGAAGCCAACGACCAACGACAGCCGACCTTCGCATTTCCTTTAAACTTAACAACATGCCCATTCCACAGCTCCCCCTCCACCAACTACGCTTTTGGTCCTTCCCACCGTCCTCCTGATTGATGTCGATCATTGGGAGTGCCTTTCAGACGACACGGACACATGGCTTCTTCGTTTTGATGAATCATCATCAGGAAAAAAAGTTTTAGCCGGTAGATCGCCAGTTAGATCAGTAGCCAATTGTACCTGTCGTAGTCATCAATAGCTTGGCAGATTTCATCATCGTGCTGATTGTTGTCTGTAGACTGTCGGTCTGCCGCATTTTGCAATAGGGCTGACAGAGGTGCCGCCACATCTATCATTGGGTCTGTAGCTGCTGCGATGCACTACAGTGGCTATCAGTGCTACAAGGCTCTCGTAGACAGTTTACTTAATTATTATGTTTTTGTAGTCAATCAATTGAATAATGTCTTGAGATGCACTAAAGTTTAAACAGAATATGTATCTATGACCGATTCGAGTGTTTGAATCATTGATGACGTACACACCAGTCTATGCCAATATAGTGTTGCCGCAGCTCGGCTAGCCGAGAGCCGGCTTATGTAAGCCAGCTAAATTTCCTTAAGTGGCTCGGCTCGGCTTTTAGCTGACCCAAAGCCGGCTCAAGCCGGCACATAATTCTCAAAGTGATGTGACTATAAATCTGGGTAAATTATATGCTGTCTACCTGATAGATACACAGTGTAATGTATATTTCGAGCATAGAACTATAATAGAAACCAAATGATTATGAAAATAAATAAAAATTGGCAAAAAAATAGGGAAGGATGTGAGATAGCATGGAAATAGGAGCACGTATGGATGTCATCTCTTCAGCTCCTTCAAATACGACCAGAATACAATGTAAACGAGCTTTCAGTGAAGAAAAATGGTGGAAAGCTGACTGAGATACAGCTCAACTCCCCCCAAAAGAGAAAATGCGACATATCTCCAGAACGCGGATACGCAAACCTCTCGTCTCTTCGGGACCTTCAAACGACACCAGAATACGTTTTAAATGAGCCCTAGATCATAAGAAACGATGGAGATTTGACTGACCTAGGGTACTTGCTCCCAAAACAGAAAATGGGACATATCTCCAGAACGCGGACATGCGAACCTCTGGTCTCTTTGGGACCTTCAAACGACACTAGAATACGTTTTAAACGAGCCCTAGATCATAAGAAACGATGGAAATTTGACTGACCTAGGGTACTTGCTCCCAAAACAGAAAATGGGACATATCTCCAGAACGCAGACATGCGAACCTCTCGTCTCTTCGGGACCTTTAAACGACACTGGAATACGTTTTACACGAGCCCTAGATCATAAGAAACGATGGAAATTTGACCGACCTAGGGTACTTGCTCCCCAAAACAGAAAATAGAACATATCTCCAGAACGCGGACACGCAAACCTCTCGTCTCTTCAGGACCTTCAAACGACACTGAAATACGTTTTAAACGAGCCCTAGATCATAAGAAACGATGGAAATTTGACCGACCTAGGGTACTTGCTCCCCAAAACAGAAAATAGAACATATCTCCAGAACGCGGACACGCGAACCTCTCGTCTCTTCGGGACCTTCAAACTACACTAGAATAGGTTTTAAACGAGCCTTTAATTAAGGATGATGATGGAGAACTCACAAAGATAGAGTACACCCTCCTGATGAATCATGAAACTTAGCATGACAGATATCTCAAAAATATGATGGCAGATGCCTCTCGTCTCTTCAGGCCCTAAAATCGACATCAAATAGCTGGTAATCAACACTTATTTGGTAGAAAACGGTACAGAACTGACCAAGATACAAAATAGCCTCATGGTGTCTATCCAGCACCTATTACATGTTTCTTAGGGCTAATATTGGGCTATTCTGGTGCCCAGTCTTAACTTATACTATGTGGAACTTGTTTACAATTGATATGGTACACTACTTAAGTTTACGATTGTACATAAATTGGGGGGAGGTGGTGGTATGAGGAGAAGAGGACAAGGAACGCAAAAGAGACATGACAAATGCTGAAGCGCTATATATCTGAGGCACTTTAGGGTGGGTTGAGATTTAGGTC